TACACTGTTACATTCTTCATAGGAATATAAATTGTTAGATTCTCCACAGAAGGCAGATTGGCAGCTGAAATTAAAACAAAAGTTACAAATGTCTGTACCTCTCTGTCCCCTGGGAGTTGATCCTATAAATGCTCTCCTCACACATGAGGACTGCCTGGCATGGCAGTGGCTCATCACTTCATAGATATCCATTGGTGGGGGGCCCACAGCACATTGCGTACCCCCGTGAGCTGGTACCCTGCAGCTACAGGAGGGAGTGAGGAAGCTCCCTGGGTCCTCTGGACAGGCACACAGGTGTCACTGAGAAACAGAAGCATTGTGTAGTGAGCTTCCTGTGGTAGGCACGAAGGATGGGTGGCTTGTACATGCACAGAGACCCTGAGGAGATGATCATGAAGCTAAAAGCAGCTACTCAGGGTGGAGGATCTGGAATGGTAGTGAGCTAGGCTTTTTGCTGGGTGCACCCATGTGAATTACGGATGTATTACCTGTTCTGAAAAGCTTGTTTGTTGGGCTGTTCTGAGGGTCAGAGAGCATGGGCCTTAGCCTCTACCAGTGTTGGCACCTGTTGTAGGTGCTCCACTTAGAGGGGAGGACCAGAGTCACCACGGTTGATGTGGCACCCAGACATTGACTCCTGCCTGCCATGCGCTGAAGACAGGGCACCCCACTGGGAGCCCACACACTCCCAAGTACCCGATCAGTCAGGAAGACTGACAGGGAGAAGAGGTAAGGAACCTGTGCAGGTAGAGCAGATCTGCGTGGATCTGAACTGGTGTGCCAGTGCAGAGCGTGGCAGCGCTGTCTGACTGGAGCCCCCAGGGCGCCCCATGCACATCAGGGCAGACAGGCGTAGGTTTTGTCCATTGGTAACGGCCATGGGTCTGTCAGGGTGGCCTCAGTGCACCTTTTTACTGCAGCTTGTTTCATCACTGTGGGGACGTTTGCTTTAGTGAAGGCGCCATAGCTGCGCCTCACTGCTGCAGTGCAGTAGGTTCTCCTTGGCAGAATCACGTTTTTTTGGTTTTTGTTTGTTTGTTTTAGTTCTGATGGGATTATTGTTGTGTGTTTTTTTTTTTTTTTTAGGGCTCAGTACAAAATTTGCTCCTAACCATTCTGCTAGAAGTTGTGTATCTTTAAAATGTTCCACAATATATGATAGTGGCAATGAGACAGTCTTGGAAAGATCGAGGTGTACCTTGGCTGTATGCCTCAGGTGCGGGGTCCAGGGCTGCACGAGCACACGGACGGTGTTCTGGCTCTTCAGCCCTGAGTTAGGCAGACATGGCCACCGATGGGGTAAGCCGAGGACACCCTCAGACACAGAGTCCTCGGGCATACTGGGGGGACCTCTAAATCTACCGTCATCATCATCCCTGCAAACTCCTACCCTCCCCACCCCACCCCACTCCTTGCAGATTAAGCCTTGGTGTGGCCACGTAGATGATCTAACCCTTTGTGGAAGAAACTGTGCAGGCCTCGTGAGAAATCCTGCCCAGGACCAGTCCTATAGCCTAGCAGTTAAGGGAGCAGGACCCCAGATGGACAACCAGAGTTCAAAATCTGGCCCTGGCAGCCTGTAAAATACACCAGGCACATGAGCGTGCCTAGCTAAAATCCAGGCAGGGTGCTGTGGCCATGCCCCACTGGGGGGTGCTTTCTTCCTCTCCCTCTTTCTGTCTCTCTCAGTGCTCATGCCCTCTGGCAATTAAAAAAAAATTTTTAAAAAGGAAATTCTGCCAGAGTAGTCTGGGTTTTCGGGCTGTTGACTTTAACGTAGGCCAGGATCCTTCTACAGGTAGGTCACCAGGCTGTGTCCCTGAGGTTTAAGAAAGCCAGCCCTGCCATTCTGTGGTAGTAAGCAGTGTTACCTGTCGTGAGTACCCGGCGCCAACCCTCTGTCCCCGAGCCCCAGGCCCTCTGTTCCATTAGTAACCTGCCTTCCGAAATCTAGTTTTCACGTCATGAGCTTGCTCATTAGTTTATTTTTCCTCCAGCCCTTCCCTTAAAAATCAAGTGATTTCATTTCCATAACTTTCTGTGAAAACGCAGCATGTGTAGCAGACATGTGGCTGCCAAAGGCAGCGGGTTTCTTGGCAGGGTTCACATTTGTGCCCAGGGCTCCTGAGACTCGAGTCTGGGAGCCGGACATTAGGCAAGCAGTGGCTCCGCCGGGAGGACGGCACGAGCTGTCAGCAGTAGGAGCTTCAGGCAGAACTTGGGAATCGTGGGAACTGCAGGGCGAGTTCTGGTGGTGCAGTTCTGAGACCAGGCAGCCTAGAGACGGGTCGCCCTGTGGAAGCTGCTGGGTGGTGAACCCCACAGTAGGAGCTGTGGCAGGGGGTGGTTGGTGGGGCCTTTGGGTGGCGTGTGTTTTTGCTTTTGTTCTTTAAAAAACAACCGGGTCAGTGGACCAAAAGCTGGCAAACAGTGGAGTGATGGTGATGGAGGTGCGCTCTGAAGCCCTGGGTGCTGCGGGTTCGAGTTGCCCCTTGGAGCAGCTGCAGTCAAGGAGCAGAGGCAGTCAGCACACGCTCAGTGATGCACAGGACCTGTGAGCCGTGGTTTTCCTGGTGGAGAGGAGAGCTCACCCCTGTGGGTCTCGCAGAGGCATAACAAGACGCCTCCATCGTAGGAAGCGGCCATGGGCTGTCTCTCGCCAGCGTGTCCCCATGCCAGCATGGTGTCTGGCACATAGCAGGTTCTCAACAAAAACTGTCAAACAGCCGACTCCCTTGGAGAAAGCCAGTGGACTGACACTCAAATGTGGTTCTAGAAAGTAATTCTCCAAGGGGCCCAGGTGCCCTTTATCAGCACGGCTGCCACAGGATAAGATGTGTCTGGATGGACCCTGCTGTTCTCACCAAGCAGACGAGTGCTCTTGCTGGAAATCAGACCTTGCAAACTTCTCGTTTGTGATAACTTGTTCTGCTTTGTCTTCACAGAGACTAATAGACAAGTCACGAGTAACCTGCGTCAGATGGGTGCCTGGTTCGGAAAGCCTTTTCCTTGTCGCCCACTCGAGCGGGAGCATGTACTTGTACAACGTGGAACACACCTGCGGCACCACAGCCCCCCACTACCAGCTGCTGAAGCAGGGGGAGAGTTTTGCCGTGCACACTTGCAAGAGCAAATCCACAAGGAACCCTCTCCTTAAGTGGACGGTGGGCGAGGGGGCCCTCAACGAGTTCGCTTTCTCCCCAGATGGCAAGTTCCTGGCGTGTGTGAGCCAGGATGGGTTTCTGCGGGTTTTCAACTTCGACTCAGTGGAGTTGCATGGTACGATGAAAAGCTACTTTGGGGGCTTGCTGTGCGTGTGCTGGAGCCCAGACGGCAAGTACATCGTGACAGGTGGAGAGGACGACTTGGTGACGGTCTGGTCTTTTGTAGACTGCCGAGTAATAGCCAGAGGCCATGGGCACAAATCCTGGGTCAGTGTTGTGGCGTTTGACCCCTATACCACGAGTGTAGAGGAGAGCGACCCTATGGAGTTCAGTGGCAGTGACGAGGACTTCCAGGACCTTCTACACTTTGGTAGAGACCGAGCTAACAGCACGCAGTCCAGGCTCTCCAAACGGAACTCTACGGACAGCCGCCCCGTCAGTGTTACGTACCGGTTTGGTTCCGTGGGCCAGGACACTCAGCTCTGTCTGTGGGACCTCACTGAAGACATCCTTTTCCCTCACCAACCCCTCTCGAGAGCAAGGACACACACAAATGTCATGAATGCCACGAGTCCTCCTGCAGGAAGCAATGGGAACAGTGTCACAACGCCCGGGAACTCAGTGCCCCCTCCCCTGCCACGGTCCAACAGCCTCCCACACTCCGCGGTCTCCAGTGCCGGCAGCAAGAGCAGTGTCATGGACGGGGCCATTGCCTCTGGGGTCAGCAAATTCGCAACCCTCTCACTGCACGACCGGAAGGAGAGACACCACGAGAAAGACCATAAGCGGAACCATAGCATGGGACACATTTCTAGCAAGAGCAGTGACAAACTGAACCTAGTTACTAAAACCAAAACGGACCCTGCTAAAACCCTGGGAACGCCCCTGTGTCCGCGAATGGAAGACGTTCCCTTGTTAGAGCCGCTGATCTGTAAAAAGATCGCACATGAACGACTGACTGTATTAATTTTTCTTGAAGACTGTATAGTCACTGCTTGTCAGGAGGGATTTGTTTGCACATGGGGAAGGCCTGGTAAAGTGGTAAGTTTTAACCCTTAATGCTGCACCAGATCTAGAACTTGAATAGGTAGTGATTTTTTTCTTGCGGGAGGGGTGGGGTGTACAATACTTCTTATTCTTAATGTAAATTTAAGTGCACCAGAGCCATAATTTTGGATACTGCATGCCATGTAATTCTGAATCATTTGATAATTCACCTTAGAGCATTAAAAAAATATAATCAAACTAATTGCCAGCCAAGTCAGCCGTCCTGGGAGCACATAGAGCCCAAGGTTAAGCGTTCCTGTCTTAGACTATTTCGGTTTAGGAGAATCATGACAGCGTGGGGAAACAATGACTTTACAATGCTAAAATTAAAATTTATGCTTTAACTGGAATATTTTTGCTTAACTTCTCAATTAGACTATTGTACACCTGATCAGAGTGTGTGTTCAGTACAGATGGCCATTCCATGTCATTTATAGTCCAATTTTTATATTAATCATAAGACGTTTAGGAATCTATGAAATTGAACTTTAGGAACAAAGCATTCAGCAGGGTTGATTGATATTATTTTTACATTGTTCTGGCAATCCACAGAAAGAGAAGAGCCTTAATTTTTAAAACCCATTTTAGTCATTTTATGACAATTAAAATTGTTTAATAAACATCTTTTTTCAAAGACGCAGTTTGTAGAACTTTGATTGAGATCCTGTGCACTAAAATACCCACATGACCCAGAGCCTGGATAGGCACATGACCCGCGGCTGCAGATGCCGCAGCGGTTGTCAGGAGTGCCACGTGCCACACAGCCCAACAGATTTCATGTCAGACGTGCTTGGCTTCTTATTCTTTTTCCTGGCATGGGAGAAGGTGGTTTTTTTCATTTGTTTTGTTTTTTATTTTTGCAGTGGGGGGGATTCAGAAAGGCACTTGACTTTCGGCCAGGGGCAGATGCCTCTGGTGGTTTAGTGACAGCCATTGGGGTTAGCAGGCTTCCTAATGTGGCACTTGAATGGGGTAGCCCCCACCGCCCAGGGGAAGAGCACCTCCGGGTCCTCTTTTCTTATCCGTGGATAGCAGTTGTGACGCTGGCCGAGGTGACTCTGGGGACGCTGGTGCTGGCCTGGTGACTGGTGGCTGCTCCGGGGCAGTACCGAGGGCACTGCTCTGCCACAGGGAGGCTACGCTGCCCATAGGAACCTCAGTACTTGATTGTAACGCCGTCTGACCCCTATCAGCTGCGTAAGGAATTTCTTTAGGAATTCCAGTTCTCATGATGGCTGAGATGGTTCTTTGAGGTATATGTCTCATGTCGAGATGTTAATTATCCTGTCTGTTAACTTATTTGGAGCACTTAGGCTTGTTTTCTGTTTTGTACCCCTTCATAATTAAATGCAGAGACAATGACGATTTGCACTGGTGTGAGTAGTGAATGCAGTCCAGCAAAGGGAGACCTGGAACCTTTACTCCTCTCCAGCAGAAGGAGCTAGTGGCGGAGCAGCAGCTCCCCGAGCTCCCAGTGCAGCTGCCCACAAAAGCCAGGCCTGTCCCCTGGTCTTCTTCCCGCTTCCAGTATGTCATAGGCCATTCACCCTGTCCCTGCTGTGCTTCTTAATGCAGGTGGTTTGTGTTAAATGTGACAGCAGTGGCAATGTGCTGCCACAGCCACGCAGCCTCTCCAGGTGCATCTGTCACCTCGGGTGGTGCATGTCACGTCCCGAGCAGTTCTTCATGGCAGAGCCAGCGTCCTCCCTACCTACGGCACAGTCCTCTGTTCCTAAAGGCTCACTGATCCAGGGTAGCGAAGATGGCCATCCCTGAGGGCTATTTCAGCTTTGGAGGCCACATCAGGCTGCCAGGTGGGGACTGGGAGTGACCACTCGACATGCAGCTTTATGCACCTCCATGGCTTCAGACATCCACTTTCAGGTGCTTCTGAGGCCTTGAGTATGCAGTTTCCAAATTCCACATTCACGTCTGGCCGACTGGAGTCGCTGGTCACAGGTAAGTAGCACTGCGGTGAGCTCGAAGGTGACCATTCATCCTGAGGTCCTGCTCACCAGCAGGCAGCCTGAGTGTGCGCCCGTGTGCCTGGTACCAGCACATGCTCTCCTTGTCACATGCTTGGGGCACCAGCTAGGGCACAGAAGGAATGGTGAGGAGCACCGACAGGGCTGGCCACTCGGAAGTGGGTCAGTTGGTGGGGCCAGGGGTGGGCGAAGTGAGGGGAGCAGCTCTTAGTGGGCTGAGACAGGCTGTGGGGGCCCCGCCCTACCTCCCATCTTGGTCATAGGTCACGGCCGGGGTGCAGGTCCTGCAGTTGCCGCCATAGCCTCGTACCCTCACTGACTACCCTGTGCCCAGTCTGGCCCCTCGTTGCCTGCCCCAGGACTCCCTGGCTGGGTCAGGGCCCCGCATACCTGTGCCCCACCCGCCTGACAGCCAGCAGAGCACCTCTGCAGGCAGGACAACCAAGTGCCAGGTGCTCTCTGCAACCAGATGTAAAGGTGCCCAGCAGTTCAAGCAGAAGAGGGCCCTGGAGAGGGGCGGGGGCTCCCCTCCTCAGATGTGCTTCTGCGCAGTGTCTCAGCAGGTCCTCGGCAGGACTGAGCAGGGGCGCCCTGGGGTTACCCACCTTAGACATCTAGGGCACGTGCCATGCTTCTTCCACGGTAGCCAGTAGGAGGTGTTGAGGAGCATTTCTGTAGTTTCCTCACCAAACTTTGAGCTTCTTCATTGAAATTGTTCAAAGTTTTTCAGCATAAACATTGTCATAAGTGGAGAGCCTTCTCTGCCCTAGCCTCCGGGATGACACCTAGCAGGCCGACGACCACTCACAGTCGGCACCGTTCCTCAGCCAGGTGAGGGCACAGACAGAAGCCAAGAGGAGATGGCAGGGGCTCTTCCCGCAGCCCCAGGATGCAGGCCGGCCCTCGGAATGCCAGGGGCTGTCAGACTGCACCAAAAGGCTGCTTTTGAACCTTTTGGTCATTCCAGAAGGCAGCTTGTGCTGCGGCTTGGACCGGCACCTGAACACCGACGGCAGCCCAGTCCTTGAGATTTCCTTTTTATTCAGGGCCAGGGAATGGAAAACTCCCCTGAGAGGCCTAAAGGGAGCCTTTGGGAAACCTTGCCTTCCGTTAAAAGCAGACATTCAAGACGGAGTAGGTAGACAGTAATTTACTGCGGTTGTAGTTGAGTCTTCATTTGTCTTCCAAACATTTTAGCAGTTGGGAAGTGTTCTCCTGGAGCCCTGAGCTCCAGTAGAGAAGTGGCAGGTGGGAAAACAGTCTCCAAGATGTCCCAGAATCAGGAAGAAGCACCACAATCCTCCCTTCCCTGGTGTTTGTGGGCGTGCGCACATTCCAGGCTGGCAGGTAGCCAGCGGCCATCTCTCCACGGTCCCTGCACCTCTGGAACATCCTGAACCTTTAAGAAATGCTCAGGTGTTGAATCTGTGCTGAAGTTGGCTACTCTGACCATGGGCGCAGGTCCTTGTCACCTCCAACTGGGTGGAAGAGGGTTTCTTCATGGTTGAACAAGCTCAAAGTATGAGGAGGAAAAAGCCAAAGGGCCTGGGAGGGCCAGAGAAGGGATCCTTGGAAAACTCGAGGGCCACTTGAGTCCAAGGGAGACCTGGAAGCAAGAGTTCAGCTGTGGATTTCCAGTGAAAGACCTGTGGAACGCAGCGTCACATGCTCAAGGGATCTGGCTGAGCAGTCAGCTAGCAGTCCCTGCCCTGCCTCTAATGCCGGGGACCCCGCGAGAGGGAAGCAGCGGGCCCCAGATGTCTGCCACAGTAGCGGGCATGGGCCTTGTTACAGTCTCATCCCCCGCAGGGAGAACTGCATGTGGTGGGGGCCTATGAAATGACCTGGACATGGCACCTCTGTCTGGTCTGGGTTACAGAGGTGAGGGCTGCTCTGTCTGCTGTCCTGGGGACACAGTGGGGATGACTGGCAAGGCCCCTGCCTTATGCCCTGCACACCCTGCCTTTGGCAGTGTAGGTCCCTGCCCTGCCTCTAATGCCGGGGACCCCGCGAGAGGGAAGCAGCGGGCCCCAGATGTCTGCCACAGTAGCGGGCATGGGCCTTGTTACAGTCTCATCCCCCGCAGGGAGAACTGCATGTGGTGGGGGCCTATGAAATGACCTGGACATGGCACCTCTGTCTGGTCTGGGTTACAGAGGTGAGGGCTGCTCTGTCTGCTGTCCTGGGGACACAGTGGGGATGACTGGCAAGGCCCCCTGCCTTGTCCCCAGCACACCCTGCCTTGGGCTGCTTAGGAATGTCATATGTTGGCTTAGGTTAACAAGGTGCTGGTTACAGTGACCAAATGATGTCCCAGAGAGACCTTGGTCTACAGAAGTGAGGCCTGTGGCTGGCCACTTAAAGCACCTGCTTTCAGTCGTCTCCTTTGCCACTCAGAGCCCAGGTTCAGACCGTCAGAACAGCCTCTCCAGTGAAGGGAAATGGCCTCACCAGTGTTAATTTCACTCATTGCCATGTCATGAACTTTGTGTCAACAGTTCAATTGCTACTTCTCAATGTAAAAGTGGAAAAGAAAAATCTGCATTTCTGGTTTCTGTATACTTGAGTTTATTATGGACTGTAATGTCAGGTGACGCTGTGTAAAACTGTATGGACGCTTACCTTCAGTGGAAATCAAACACAATTCACATGCATTTCTTTTTTTTTGCATTTTTTTCATCTGATCTCTTGACAACTTCAATAAATTTCGTGAAGAGTCTTCTTAATATGAAATACTGGTAAATTAAGTTCTTAACTGTTGCAGTAATTAATGAAGCTTTAATACCAGTATTACCTTCTGACTTTAAGGAGATCGTGTTTCTGTCTCACTGGTTTGTTTTTAGCTATGTTCTCGCCGCCATCGCAGCCGGAGACTTACTCGATACTCTGAAGTACTGTGGGCTGTCTTCTGTGTACTCACGTCAATAAACGTGTGAATGAACTGTAAACATAGATAATTTCCAATAGTTGTGTTCACATCTAAGCTTTAACAAATCTCAGTGAACCAAAAAAGAAAAGCTTTTAAATGCTGTAAAAGTAAGGGCCTTGTTATGTTTACAAAACAGCCACAGGAATTGCTACTTGTTACGAGCTGAGTCTTCCCATGATCAGATCTTACTACGCGGAAACGTTTGTCCTGAGCATTGAAGACCCTGTTGAATGTGATCCTCATCTGCGCCGGGTCCAGTCCAGGGGAAAACCGCTGATGGACTCCAGCCGGGCTGTAAAGGCTTGTGTTTAATGAGTGGCCGTTCTGAGGGCAGCATGGCAGCTGGC